GAGATTCAACACCCAGGGGGGGGAGAACCTGTCGCAAGCATTTGTTCAAAGCAGAAGAAGGAATGTTGGGCGGAGCCATCTGGAGCAAGACACCACCGGTGGCCTTGAAGAGAGGCATAACAAGCATAAAGACCGTGACCGATACCAATCCCAAACAGAGCACTTCAGCGTTTTCAACTCTGAAAACGCCATGGAATAGGGTGAGCACAAGGAATATGTAAGTCAAGTACATGGAATTTTCAGCAAATTAAGCCCAAAGGAAAACCGAGAATTACCCAATAGAGAGAAACCATGATGCCAATATTAGACCTGCACTGAGGAGAAAGTGCCACAGAGAACTATAAGTTGGGAGTGCAGAGTTTTTATACGTAAATTTGGATTCAATAAGAAGTTTCACGAGAGAGAAAGAGAGAGGGCAGAAGGGAAGAGAGAATTATCACCTGCGAATAGAATCAGCAAGAACATGCAAGCAAACCGAGTGATAATTCATGTCTTCTGCTTTTCTGTATACTGTAAGAAACGAGAGCGATAAGGCATAAATGCAAGAAGAAACAATGGTACCACCACCTGGTAAATCTTGTAAAAGTGACATATAGCACATAAACCAGGACAGAAATATGTCTAAAAAGGAGCAAATTTTGTATTACAATGTCTAAAAGGACAGATAAATTTAAAAAAAAAAAAGGCAGACTAACTGAAAGCTAAATCAAGGAATGGAAAATCATCAATATCTACAGACAAACAGTACACGCAGCAATTGGTGGGCATCTGTTCATACAAAGAAGATAGAAACATAAATTACTGACAGAATGTCTGTATGGCAGAGAACACATACCAAGGTTAACACGAGCATAATTCCGGAAGAACCAAACACCTATTAGGTTCACCAGCAGATTTGTCACCGCTGATACAATCAAATAATGCCTATACGAAACACACCAACAAATCAAGCTTGTGTAAGAAACAACAGAAAGCAATATATCATCAGTAGAATAGAGGTTGTGAACCGCAGCTAAGCGACAGAGAAACTGTTAGGACTTCCAAGGCACATTGTTGCGGTTTGTGGTAAAAAAATACTTCAAGGTTTCACAAAAGGACAATGAATCATGTAGAGAATATCACTTGGAAAAGTAACTTACTTGTGCTCTGACTCATCTTGTATGAATGCATGAAGAGCTTCCACAGCTAAGGAGAATGACATGAACAAAAGGAACAGCTGTCTACATATACACCAAAATTTAAATGCATCAAAGTGTTAACCTATCAGGAACACTACAAAGAAAGAGATTATGAGATAAAAGACAACAGAGGACATGAAAGGAAAGGATCAGAACCTAAAGACAATGTTTAGAAGTGCCTAAAGACAGCATTCACAAGGGGCTTTCAGATTATTCTCACCTATCATCGACATACCAAGGAAAGAAAATACCAGATTTGGCTCTCTCAACACCCATTTCTAAACAAAATTGGAGCCAATTACACAGAGGCCTCTAGATAATTTGAAAATAACAGCGAAAGAGGAATATACAATGCAACAGATCCACCATAAAAGTTAAAATGAAGTGAAAAGAAAACGTTACTCACAGCATTAGTGAAAGCAGATAAAACTTCAAGCCTTTTGTACCTGATGAGAAATAAAAGGATGCCTCGTTACAATCAACCCAGCGCTAGCATTTCAATGTCAGCAACAAAAGAAATAATCATATCTCGTATTTTCAGTTTCGGGCATCAAACAGAAATTCCTCCTACTTGATCCAGACCTAAAATCAAGAAGAAAGTCTAGTAAACCATATCTATAAATTGATCCAGGGAAAGAAAGACAAATATACAGATACAACATCGAACTAGAATCTAAATAAAGCCAACCAACTCTCAACTAGCAAAACATAGATTCCAAGTTTTATCTCACAGCGAATGACAGATGATGATCTCACCCGTAAGAGTAAGCATGATCGGGCTTCTTCCTCGATGTAGCCATTGCAAATAAAGAGAATGTCAACAGACCACAACCAAATGTCAGATGGAATGCATCAGACACCAAACCTGTAAAAGTCCATTAAAAACCATAGTTACGAATCAAGCACATATAACCAACAGAACAGAAAGCTTAACTAATAAAAGCATAGAGTCACAGTCAGTACTCTCAGTAAAGGACTAACAAAGCTATATGTTACTCGAAACTGGCATCAAATATACCAATTTAGGCCACGGACTCGAACAAAATAGCGTCATTTAGAAGCCGTAATGGGAGAGACAAAAACAGCTCAAGAATTTCTACCCTGAAGATTCCGTTCTAGTGAGAATCGACAACATCATCAGGAACAGAATCCTATTACAGAATAACCTCAGCCAGTGGTGTGCTCAGATCTATGATCCATATGATTCAGAATTAGCTAATTGGCCATGGTTCCTTGACCAAGATGCAAGCTTTATTTTACACTGTATATATCTCCCCTTTGCCACTTCATCTCTAATGCTATTACTGTGTTTCTTATATCTGAACAGAGAATCTCAAAGGAAAATAATCGATAAATCAAGAAGAACAGATCCAGAGATTCAACACCCAGAAAACAAATCCTGAAACAAACCGTACCTACGCGCCCTGTGAACAGCCCTATGGCGAGCTCTACGGTAGAATACGCCACATTGAGCGAAATCAACAGAGACAGCCTCTTCATCTGCCGACTCCCAGATCTCAAAACCCGGAAAATCTCCAAAACCAGACGCAAAACAGAGACTTCTCCTCTCTTCTCTTTCC